GGATCACTTCGTAGAGCTGGTAAATCCGGTTCGAATGAGCGTACAGTGACAACGCTGCGAGAAGATGGAGAGAGGATAGAGGGAAATAATCCAAATGAACCAGTAGCACGCACGTCACGCGTGTGTGAGGATGATGTGTGCACAGCGATTAGCGAGGTGACAATTCTTGTCGCGCAGTCCCAAGTACGTAACGTGGACAAAACGCACACATTTTTGTCTCGGCTATTATACTTTTGACATACATGACCTCTTCGTGTTGTGGTACAAGTGTAGCAAACACTCTAACTTGTGAATTATCTCGACTTGTTTCCTCACTTTAACTTGCTCAATCGATTTAGGAACATTCAGTGTTTCAGGGGCTTTTAACGTAAAGGGTAACTGCGTGTCTCTTCACTCCTCTTTAGCTTCCCCTCCAACAACGATCTCAACCCAAAGTGCAAAGTGAGGTTTTAGCAGTACTTTACTTTTTATCTTTTGTAGTTTGTAACGTTTAATCTCTTATCTTTTTGTTTTGCGACACAGTAGCTGAGGTGTAAATCTTTCCCTTGACCAGTGTGGATGATGATGATGATGGCGATGCGTGTTCGATGTGCCAAGTTTAGATCAGCATGATGTGCACGTGTTTTGATGTGGTTCGGTGCACCCCAAATGAGGCCCGCAACAGTGGGAACAGATCAAACCTACACACAACAACCACGGCTAAGCCGTCAAGCAAACAAGACAAGTCCAGTTGGCGTTATAAACATCCGTTGCCTTTCATTCCCTATATAAATGGAGGCTGATGCTAATCAGAATACACCTGCGATAACTGGTTTTACGCTGCTAAAACACAAAGTTCCACATCTGTTGAGGAATTAGCTGCTATACACGAAGCTAGCCAACATTGTGGAAGTTTTTACATTCCTGTATTAGCAGTATACTCAGCAAATGTTTCGTCATCTGTGCGTTGATGCTGTGCGACTGTTGGCATTCTGTACCACCAGGACTACCATGTAATTTAATGGGTTTTACTGGACCGATAGTAAACTTTTAACAGATAATAATAATAGTACTAATAATAAGCTATATTTCTCGTGATACCGAGACGGCGTTACTCTCGCCCTGAAGGGTGGAGTGTACAATGCAGCGGTACGTTCGACCTTACTGTACGGTTGCGAAACCTGGTCCCTAAGATCGGCGGACACAAAGAGGCTAGTTAGTTTCGACCATCAGTGCCTTCGCAGTTTGCCTCACATCTGGTGGGAACACCGCGTGAGTAACGAGCGTGTTCGACGCCCAGTTTACGGCACAGGAAAAAGTACTGAACCGCTCAGCACCGTCATTTCACGCACCAGGCTCCGAGGGCTCGGCCACGTGTTGCGCATGCCAGCCCACCGACTTGCACGACGTGCGTTGTTTGCTCACCGGGGATGTGGATGGAAGAAGAGGAGGGGGGCCAAGCGATGACTTGGTCAAGAGGAATGAAGGCCCTCACTTCTGTGCTGGCCTCGGTTGGAGCGTCACGGCTCCCTGGTTGGGGTCCGAAATACGGTGAACACGTTTGGCTGGATACACTTGCTGACATGTCAAGGAGCCGACCTCAGTGGCATTCGTGCTGTGCGTTTTTTTGTCTCTCCCCATCCCTTTTAGCCTCCTCCTCCATCTACGATCTCATTTCGTAGCGTAAAACATAATAATTTTGCTTTTTGACTATTAGCCGGCTGGTAGCTTACCGGAACGATGCCTATCCGTTGTTGGTAGCTCAGTTGGCATTCAACTTTTGTATTCATTTTCTTTTTCCGTTATGTATTGCGGCACAGTAGCTGAGGTGTTGCCCACCTCTAGCTGATGTGTATAATGATGATGATGATACTACCGAGAAACCGAGCCCACAAATGGACGGACCATATTTACATTGCAACAGGCTCAGGCATGCGAGATTTTTAATTGTTTGGATTTTTACAGGGTCAGAAAAGCGATTTTTTGCGAATATTTTCATTTGGTACTTTTGTCATCGTATGCTATCAGTCCCGGGGCATTCTCATTTGGCCGTTTTCAGTGCAGCTTGGTGGCGCCATGATGGCGGCGGGTTGATGTGGGCGGGGGGAGGGAGTATGAAAAGGATGTAACAGTTAGCTTCACCAATCAAAATCAGATGAGTAAAACACTATCTTACTTAATAGACTGGTGTACCACAGTTGGAGCTGTATGTGAGTAGAAAGTTCGGGAGCTGCGAGAAATAAGGACAATTCCATTTTAAGTTAACTCCGGTGGACCATTAAACTCATTGCATTATCAGAATAATAAAGGAAGTATTCACATCGTAAGCAGTTAAGGCACAGCGTAGTGTCTGGACATTCCGTGGTCTAATTATGAAGTGGAACTAATCAAATTGTGTTTGGGGCTGTCGGATGGTTGAGATGTTGGGTGAGCTCAGTTGCATTCCTTTCAGCCTTCCCTTGTAGGTGGATGGTTAGGGCGTGCGTGATTATGCACAGTAAAGTTAATGTTGAAAACGGGGAATTAAACAGATAAGTAGACAAAGAAATAAGCGCCTATTCACTGCAGTTGGGACTTATTCAGTGCATCGTAGTCTTATAGAAGATGTCAAAGATAGGGCGAATAAGAAAGTGTGCAATAATTATCTGATTCTTGATGTAGATATATAGAGGAAATGCACTACATCTAAGAGCGAACCTATGGTCTAAGGAATAAGTTAATGAGAAATATCGGTAAGACAGTAGGAGGGTAGAGGTGAAGTAACTATGAACCAGGAGCACAACAGATTCAGTGCATAATTCAGAAGGGTACGAAAAACAAGTGGTAATACGGTCATTCGTGGAACCATCTCCCGGGGACCTGCTTCCATGCGGAGTAGTCCCTCGAGAGGTTTCACCCACACCTCCACGTCCCAGCTGGTCGTGCATCGGTGTGGTTTAAATGAACGCTGGCCACTACCGATTTTATTCATCATTTGGGCAATTGTTTGTTTTGGTGAGCTAATTACTCAAACCAGTCAGTCCTTTCGTCATTCATAGTTTTTTGCGTGCATGATGACCGGGATCACCGGTTGGTGTCATAGGTCATTAAGTGCAAGTTCAGCAGTTCAGATTGGACTGTATTTTACATTTCAGCATGCCTTTTGTATTCACCAGTGGATCTTTTGGCGAGGATACATATGTTGCTTAGAAACGCTAAACTATCACTTCAGGGGATCGGCCCACTCGTGCCCAACAGAATAACAGGAAAATAAGATGAAATAGTAAGATTAGGGGGTAGAAATATTAATGAAATAACTAGTCAACTGGCATGTCTTGCGATATTGTGAGATGCCATATGATAGGATGTGATAAAATATTGCAGAAGTTTAGAATAACAGGTATCGTTATTAATAAGTTGGCTTCTCCTTCAACCAGCACTAGATGATGCAAATTCTCCGGATGCCATAGGGCAGTAAAATATTTACAATATACAACGGAGTGCTAAAGCAAGAAATACACCTTTTTCTTTTTGTTTCCTCACCTACTGTGGGACTTCAAGGGTGGCATTTTCGAGCATAAAATTGTGGTATTCTGGAGTCTTGTGCACTTGTATTATTGGTTATATATTGTTTGGA